ATATTAATGTACATTGGGACAAAGCATCCATAATTAGGACAGCCACCAACAAACAAGTACTTAAACATATTGAAAAACTTGAAATTTACAAGGCCCATATTAACAAAGGATGCATCAACCATAGAGACGCAGAAAGTCTATCTTTCGCATGGAAATCTTTTTACCATGACGATTAATTTTCTTAATACTTTATTTAATTTAATTCTTTACCACGATTAATTTTCTTAATATTTTATTGTAATTTAATTTTGTTTTTATGTTTTATTTTATTTTTATTTTGTTGTAATTAATTTTCAATTTTTAAACCATTGTATTGCTTGCGTTCTATTTTACGTTCGTTTTTGTTTTAAAGTGGCATAACTGAAGAAGACTATTAAATATAGTCGAAAACATTTTTATTTTATTAAATACTTCGTTGCTGGAAATACTAAGGTGTTTGATTATTTTAAGTATTTATATTCCAGTAAGTTATTTTTAGTCCAATATATCTGTTTTAACAATGAATTTATTGGTCTGAATCATTTTAAATGGAAATTTTGAGTTATTAAGATCCAGTAGGTTCTGTTACATTTAAATTAATATTTAAAAATCAATTACTCAATTAGATGTGTTAAATTATGCTGTTATGTCCAGTTATTGATGCCAGAGAAACATTGTGCAATTTTGCATAAAATAAAACAACTTAAAACAAAACCTTACAATTAGTATTATATGCAGCATGTGTAATGCTGAGCTAATAGATACATCATAGTGTCAGTATTTCTTCATTTTACACATATGTAAAAAACAAAGTTGAAATATTCTAAACATTTTTGGAAGCAGAATATGAATTTTAACTTTTAAATATCAAATTTTACATGATTATATTCTACAAAGAATATGGCATTTCATTAATTAATTAGCTATATTTATTATTATACATTACATATTTATTTCCATTTAAAACAATATGTATTGAATGTATTCCAAAGAGTTGTTATGAAAGTTATTTTGTTTTTGATTTTAAGATCAAATCAATAAAAATTTTGTGTTTGAATTTGTATATAATTAATAACAAACTAAAAGAATTTATTGACTTTTTAATATTTTATTAGAAATCAGTAGCATACTAGTGAAACATCTTTTTTACTGATTTATTATTTTTTTAATAGGAAACATAGGCAATATATAGGAAATCTTACATGATATTATTATTTAAAATATCATGTAGCATTTTGTTTTAATTTAATCCATCTGGATTTATAGAAATGAAATTAATTATTTCTAGAAAAAGTCAATATTTCTAGCAGTGTTTAAAATGTGATTTCAGTTTTAAATGTATAAATGATGATTGTTAAAGTTAGTTCATTTTTTTTTAATTTATGTTGATTTTCTGCATGATTTTTAAATTGATTATTTTATAGTTATTTGATACATGATCTTTTGATTCAAAATTTTGTTTTGCTACCAAAATATAAATTTCATTTATTGAAATTAAAATTATACTCATTTTAAAGATTGAATCATAAAGAATTAAGTTTTATTAGGATAAGAATAATTATTTACATTCTAAAGAATTAAAAAAATAATCATTAAAAGCAATAACCTTTACATATTTATAATAATAAATATGGAAATTATTGTAATTATTAATTAATATTTTTACCCCTATAATTCAAGATATAGAATAAAATATTTCATGTATGAACTTGCAAATACATATTTTGTAGTTTTTTACTATTGTAGTTGAAAAATATAATTAATATTGCAATAAATGAATTTTATAATTTATTGTAAAAATTAAAAGATTTTTTAAAAGCAGCTACAAAATTTTCCAGCATATCTAAAAAAGTGTTTATACACAAAAGAAATTTCAAAGAAAAATACTAATGTTTATTACTATTAATTATACAATAATTACTATAGCTAAATAATAATTAAAATGATTTTAAAATTGCTTAAAATTTAACTATAAATTTTTTGTATATATTTTTAATTATATTCTAATTTAATGTTTTTAGATTTTGATGATTTATTTGATGATGAAGATCTACAATAATTTCATAAGCGAAGGTAATAAAATTTATATTTCTGTAAGTTTGCTTTTGTTAATTCAATGTATTATGTAGAAGAATTTTCTGAATGAAATAAGGCTAAGCTTAATCAAATAATACCTAATGATAATTATGACCTTAAAATAACTCCACTGAAGATATTTCCTAGAAGAAAAAAATTTAGTTTCATGACATTTATTCAAACTTAAACTATAAACTTTTTATAAAAGATAGTCTAATGCAGGGATGTCCAGCCTGCGGCCACATTGCAGCCCACTTAATATTTTTATACGGTCCATTGAACCCTAAAATTTTTAGGTGCGTTTTCATTTATTTTGATAAAGAATGTTGTAAAAATAATTCTCATTTCACTGGATACATTTTGATGTTGTAATGATGTAATTGATGTTAGAAAACTGTACTATTCCACATGCAAAACATACTATTGTGAACAATTCTTTTCATGCATGAAAAGATCAAAACTGGTGAAAGAAATAGGTTGAGTAATTCCCATTTAACCAACATTCCTAAAATTATGATTAGTACCATAAATGCAGATATTGACAATATTATAATTTGTTTACTGTCAATAATACAGTATTTTATGTAATTATATATTTGTTATTAAAATTTGATATTCACAATTTGAACTTTTTAAAAATATATATATAAAGTACCTTTGCAGTCCACTGAATAAATGTAAATTTCTAATTTGACCCATTAGAAAAAAAGGTTGGACAACCCTGGTCTAATGGATATGTATAATTTCTTTAGGACTGTGAATTGTTGACGAAATTACAGTTAAACATTATCATTTTAAACTTTAGTGTGTATTTTTTTTTTTTTTTATGGCTGAAAACAATTCCAAGAGCATCTGCCAAAAATAAACTCATGTTTGAAATAAGATTGAACTAATAACCTGATAAATTACAACAATGCCTTAACACCATAAAAATCAACAAAATGATTTAGGATTTTTCAAGCCCAGATTTTTATATAATTAATTTTTTTGTAAGACTAATACCAAACTAATGCCATTAAAAATAATTATTTAATACTAAATTTCATAAACTGTGTTTTGAATAAATTAGAACAGTTCTCACTGCAAGAACTATTATTATTTATTCAAAGTACCATTTAAATAAATTTTTAATACATTTTGCAAATATAATAAAAATTTTAATTTATATTCTTTAATATAATGATTGAATTAGAAGAGATTTAAAATTTTTCAAACTTGTTATATTTCAAATGAAAATTATAAAATAAACTAATTTGATGTACTATAGAACAGAAAAAATATTTGCTATTTGTTACTAATTATTTGATAAACTAGTTTATAATATGAACATAAATAAATATTAGCTAAACTTTCAATGTAAACACATTTTTACATTTTTTCATTGTTGATAAAGTAAACACTTCTTAATTCAAACATTACTAAAATGACATGAAATGAAATTGTTAGATGAAGAGAATCATTTAGTAAATATATTTTTTTAAAAAATAGAAAAACTGATTAGTGAATAAATCTTTAGGAGAATTTTGATTTTTTATATTATAGTAAAAGTATTTCAAAGCAATAAACATAATTAAAATAAAAATATAATAAAAATAAAGTAAAATTATTTTTCAAAAATATTCTAAAGCAAAAGAAGACAGTTTCAATTGATTATTGATGAGACAAATATAAAAATATATGTATGTATCTGATTGGGTTGAATATAACTGTAATAGGATTTAGAATTGAATGTGATGTTTAAAACACATTTATGCTTTGTAAAATAAAGTTGTAACCAATAATTGAATCAATGATACATGGTTTTCTGAAAAGTTATACAATTTCCTTCATACAGTATTTGAAAATAAATACATAAACATTGATGGGATTTTGTATATTATTTTAGTTCTCTGTCATTTGATCTATAGTATTACATTCCTATTCTAAAGCTTTCATAAACATTATACAATGTTTTTATTCACCAAGTAACAAAATTGAAACCATTTTACAAAACTTCTATTTACTAAACACACTTCTAAATACTGATATTTACTTCATTATTTGGAATTGTGTTATCAATATTTAAATATATTCATACGTATATATTTGGATTAAATTTTACATCTAAAATGTATTGATGAAGCTGTCTTTCATATTTATTAAAGTAATGAGATAAAAATCTCTTAGTTTAGAACTGACTGTTATGTTGGCATGGATGAAAAATGTTTTTAGAAATGTGTATTTGTAGAAATGTCTTTTTATTATAAGAATTTTAAAANCCTACTTTTTCAAGGCAAGTAAAGTCTTTTTTTATGCGAATTTTTTATATGCGCTTTTCTGTAGAACATATCCACCGCATAAAACGAGACCTTACAGTACTCAGAAGTATATACAAAGTGAGGCAATAGTTATTGCCTTGTGTTGTATATATGCCTAACAAAAAAATACTACATAGACTTGTATAGATTATTCAAAATTTAAATGTTTTTGTTATTTAAAGTTTAAATATTAGTAAATACAATGTACTGTACATGGTAAATAAATTGAAAATGAAAACATTATTTTATAGTTATGACGAACTTTAAAGCAACTTTTATTTTCTGGCTATTATATAAAACAGAGGGAAAGTATGGCAATCAGTCAAAAAATGACCTTTCAAAATTTTTAGTTTTGGACTTGGGACCTTGAAACTGAAATGTAAAAAAATTCGGGGATTTTTTCTGTATGTATGGATGTTAGTGTGTGTGTGATGGAGGTATGATTTTGTTCATCCTCTTCAAAGCTTAATAACTAATGTGCTTTTCATCAAAAATTTCTGAAATTTTGCAGGGAGGTTTCTGCATTAGGGGAATTGATGCTATTAAATTTTGATGGTTAAAGGTCAAGTGGGTGGGAATATAAAGGGGGAGGTGTCGTATCTCAAGTAGGATCTGACTTAATGATGATTTTACTTGTTATTAGCATTTAAAATTTTTTATAAAACCCATCCCTATTCTCAAAATTAAATTTATTGCAATTTTATAATAATTAAAAACATAAAAAGTTTTCTTTAATAAAATATCAACAGATGGCACCACCAAAATTTTAAATGTTACTGGATTTTTTATTAATGTTTTGAGATTTCTAAAATATAATAAGTTCATCTTTAACTTTTATTACTGGGTAGCTTCATCTTTTGGCATTGATGCAATTAACTTTTTGTTTGCTGTTCATTAACAAAAAGTTCACTATGATATATCAGATATGAGTTATTCTCTATTTTAATTCATTTTGTGCAATAGGACCAATGTATTCAATTTTTTTTTTTTAGTAGGAAGGAAAACTCACTGAGTACGGCGTTATTAATAGCTTTTTTGTACTGCTAGCACTTTCACTGAATCTATGATTGTCATCTTTAGGCGAACAAAAGTTTAAAATCGAACATCCCTGTTAAGGGATTCTCCAACGGTATAGCGGTTCTATTAATAATGCCACACTCAGTGAGTTTTCCTTCCTACTATTCAACATTTGGTGTGAGGATCAAGCTGTATTGATTTTTTTTGGCCAACATTATTTAATGTCAAATTTTCAATGGTGTGAGCTTCTATGCCAATCCAGTATCTTTACAAAGTGTGTAGTGAATAATTGTTTTAATTAAATAAAAATTGTATGATTTTGAATATTTTACATAACCGTTTTATAATTTATTATGAGAAGAATACAGGCTTTTTGAAAGAGATGAAAAAAGTAAATAGTTGGTGACAAACATTTCTCTAGAATAATTTCTTTCATTTTACAGAAACATTTTGCATTCTGCATTCTATTCCCATTTACAAAATAAGTGTTTTCATCTCTTTTTGAACAGAAACATCATCATACTGTTAGAAAAACAACAGATTTAATTGTATAGTTTATACACCTTGTTTATATTCTTTCTCTTTTCAAACTCTGAAGTTCATCATTATAAATTTTGAAACTGATTCATTACAAAATATTAGTCTAATGTTCTATGGACTACATTTGATGATTTTTTATTTTAACTATTGCAATCTCTTCACTTAGCAATAATGTTGTCAGTAATGACTTATTTTTGAAGTTTTAGATTGTTTACCTATTTTTATTTATACTTTTGTTTAACTGTGGTGGTGATGCAAATTTATTTTAAGAAATAGATTTTCATCATCATCACAGTTTAAATTAATGTTTAGTAACATTAATGCAATTAGTAATATCAATGCACAGTTTTTTTTGCTTAAAATTTTTGCAGTGTTTTTAGTCTGTTAGGTTTTTGAAAGAGAGGGGAAAAATGGAAATAGTGTTGTTGTTCTGTTTTATCAAATTTCTTGAAACAGTGGAATGATAACATTACACTTTTGTGGTTGATATTTTTTAAAGAAAATTATTTTCTCTTGAAATTTTAATTATTATATATTTTTTTTAAAGTGGAAAACTCATGAATCTATATAAATAAAACTGTAATGATCAGTCTGTATGTCAGTTTGGATGTTTATTGTTGCATCATGGGAAAATGCCTGAATATATTTTAACCAAATATCACATTTTGAATCTGTCAATTTAGGAGAAGGTTTACACACATATATAATCTCAAAATCTACATTATATAAATTAAACTGTAATGGATTTTTGTCTGTCATGTATGAATCATCAGCTGTTTGTCAAATGATTATCTATAAAAAATTGTAATATTGAAGTACAGTAAGATCCCGCTTAACGCTGTCTCGATATAACGTGGTCTGCTTGAAGCCTTAAAAAAAAACTCAAAATTTACGCCGATTTAAATTATCGCAGCATTTCATTGATTCGTATATAATACGATTATTTGCGAACACAAACCAATCAGCAAAAAGTGGCAAAAAGGTGTACTTTCTTTAAATGTATGTTTATTTTGGAATTTTGGAAAAAAATATAATGTCATGGATACTATAGGCAATATCGACTTCGTTTTGCAAGAATTAACTGATAAATCCACGAACGAAGTGTGGAAGAAGTTATGGCTGAAGGTATCCAAGAATTCTCAACGAGAAGAGCCTATTGCTGTATCGTTAGGGTTGACCAAACTCAACCTACTGTAATCGATATAGCAGGACTAGGAGATGTAGACGAACAGGATGTTGAGGAGTTACTGCAGGTTTCTGTCGAGTCTTATCAACAACGACCTTCAAGAACTGGTAGAACAAGGAATTCATGTGGAACTGGAAAATAGAGATTCTGAAAACTAAGAACCCAAAAAATTTTTCTATGGATTTCCTTAGTAAAAGTTTGGTAAGATATCCAAAATCGTTGATCAAATTGTAGCGAATGATTCAGATTTTGAAAGGAGTTCAAAAGCGAAACGAGGAGTTTTGGATGCGATCTTCTGCAACCAACATTTGCTTCAGGAAAGAAAAAAGTGACAAATGAAACTTCACGGCTTTATTATAAAAAAAACAAGAATTTCGGAAAAATCAGGACCTTCGTCACATAAAATGAACTATTAATATAAAAAAACACCCTATATAATAATATATTAATTAGTTCATTTTTTCTAAACTGATGGTACTCAGAGACATCTGTAGAACAATCTAACAGCTGGACTATTGCCAAATTTGAGAGAGTGACTAAAAATGACATGGGAAAGAGATTCTGTAAAGAAAAAAGTAGTACCTAAATTTTTCAGTAGGGGTGGATTTGGCGCTGTTGTAGCAAAACAGTAAGAATTTACATAAAACCCAGTTGCAATTAACAAACACACGAATGAATAATCAGACAGAGGTTTCAGTGCAATAATGAAAGTTTAATTAATCAGCAAATAACTTTCTCCCTCTTTCAATGTGACCACCATCCTGCTGGACAATATATTGCATCCTGAACACCATGTTCTCTACGGTGGAATGTAACATGTCTGCAGGAATGTTCATCACAGTTTGAGAAATGTTGTCCTTCAAGGTCATCAAGTTGGGGACACCACCAAGATAGACCTTGGACTTTAATAACCCCACAGGAAAAAGTCACACAGGGTTAGATCTGGGGGTTAGAAGTTTCAATGAGTGCAATCGCAACAACACTAACTGTCTGTGCAGACACTGGTTTTTGCTCTCTATCAGGATGAACTGCTAAGGATTCTGTCTCTTCAAATTTCTTTATCAAGTCTTTCAATGCATTAATTGAAAGACTTGGTAAAGAAATCTGCGCAGGTTCTTATGGGTTCTAAACTCACGAAGAGTGCCTGGTGCGCTCGATTAGTTAATTAAGATAATAAAATATCACAAGCAACGCACGCTGAGGTAACGAAAGATGCATACAGTAATACCTTGACTTACGCGAACCCGGAGTTACGCGATTTTTCAAATCTCGTCGATTCGTCTTTTGTTTGAGCGCCATACAACTTTTGATTACTCACTCCCCCCACACTATTGTTCAGCTTACATGTTCGGATGTGTAGCGCGGAATCGACACATAGCTACAATTTATTTTGTGTTATTTATTTCTGTGTTTGTTATATCTACAGAGACTTGAGAGACTCTAAGTGATGATTTCTTGTAACCGTGAATGAATCAAAAGATGAGATAAGATTAACGAGAACATTTATTAGCTTACGTACATCCGACTTGGATTTTACACAATTGCAAAATTATACCCCGACTTATGTGGTTATCATTCGGTCCCACCTATCGCATAAGTTTGGGGTATTACTGTATTGAACTCTGCTGAAGTCTGGAATGCGCTTCTGACTTTTGTCTTTGTCAAAAGTAAACGAGATCCTTTAAGTGACTGCCATTTTAATTCAGATCTCGTTTACGTTGGTACCACTATGAGACTTTTAAAACAGAGGCTTAAAGAACTTAAGTATTCTATTACTAAAAACGTGGACAGCACCGTCCTTGCAGTCTTCACTAAACATCAAGATATTAATGTACATTGGGACAAAGCATTCATAATTAGGACAGCCACCAACAAACAAGTACTTAAACATATTGAAAAACGTGAAATTTACAAGGCCCCCATATTAACAAAGGATGCGTCAACCATAGAGACGCAGAAAGTCTATCTTTTGAATGGAAATCTTTTTACCATGACGATTAATTTTCTTAATACTTTATTTAATTTAATTCTTTACCACGATTAATTTTCTTAATATTTTATTGTAATTTAATTTTGTTTTTATGTTTTATTTTATTTTTATTTTGTTGTAATTAATTTTCAATTTTTAAACCATTGTATTGCTTGCATTCTATTTTACATTCATTTTTGTTTTAAAGTGGCTTAACTGAAGAAGACTATTATAGTCAAAAACGTTTTTATTTTATTAAATACTTCGTTGCTGGAAATACTAAGGTGTTTGATTATTTTAAATACTTAGTGATTAAATATTACACACTAATATAAGCAAAGTTAATTTAAATGAAATCAAAATATGTTAATATATTTAATATGAAATTAATATGTTATATGTTAATATGAAATTAATATGTTAATATATTTAACAAAATTTGCAGCCTGGCACTGTGACAATGTCACAATAAATAATTGCTCATATCTTTTTAAATTTTTATGCATATAATTGGTGATGTAAAGAATTACCTCTTTCTTTGGCAGCATCTAGCAGAATTTTTAAGCATTCTATCTTCCCATGTTGTGCAGCTGTAAATATTGGTGTCATTTCACATTCATCTCGAATACTAATTTTTGCACCTGCCGTCAACAGAGAAATGACAATGTCGGCTCTACCAAGCATGGCTGCTTCATGCAAGGAACCCCAACCGCTACAGTCGACTTTATTTGGATCAGCTTTACCATTATTTAAAAGTTCTAATACTACTGGAGCAAATCCAGAACGAGTAGCTATAAAATAATTTTACAGAATTACAAAAAATATGAGAATTTAATTAATACACTAAATAAAAGATACCTGCTAACAGAGGTGTTTCTTCTTCATTATCTGCTATATTAGGATCAGCTTTATATTTCAATAACAATTTTACGGCTTCTAAAGGTTTTTTGTTGGTTCTACATCTTCGTTTACAAGCCAGCAATAATGCTGTTTCTCCTTCATGAGTTTGCCAATTAACATCTGTATCTTCTGTAAATTGAAGAAAGAATTTCTGTAGTTTAATTTTGTTTTAAATGTTTTAAATATAACTTTATATACATATACATATTTTAAAATAAAATATCATGTAAATAACAGAATAAACATGATTTCACAAAAAAGATATATTTAGAAACATTTGAAAGTCAAAAGAAGCACCATATTTGTTGAGATTACACTCTATAAAGCTGCTGAATATAGAAAAAAGAAAGAAATGCAGGAAGAAAAAAAATAAAGTTATTTAAAAAATATAAAATTAGAAAATAAAAATATATTTTTATTGTAATGAAGGATCCACTGTCCACACATTGGTATACCACAAACCTTGTGCAGCCTCTGCATACACATGTATGCAGAGGCTGCACACAGGAATGTATGCAGAGGCTGCACACACAGGGATACCATTCCCATACAAGACAGCAGCATTTAATATTTTAATTAGGAGGGAATTTTCCCATTCGTCCATCTCACAAGCTCTAGCCACTGAATTAATGTACATTAATTCATAGCAACCTAATCTGACCCATTGTTTGATTGAGCGATATCACCGATCACGACACGCATCCACCGCTCAAGCAATAGCCGATGACAAACCAGATGGTGAAACACATGTCCCAGTCACACTTAACTTGTACATTTGATCGTTGTACACAGAAATCGCCAACAAATACCAAATGCGGATCACATACAGATGTCTGACAATCTTCAACATCCTCTACAACAGGAAAGACTCTCCTGACCATAACAGACTTCCTGATAATAACAGACATAACAGAATCAACATAAATAAGGTCCCAGTCACATCTGTTGTCCCTATCCCTCCTAGGGACAACAGAAGGTAGCTACCAAAGTGAAGGACGGTCAAGCACTTCCTACCACTGTAGACACTTTAGTTCAAATTTCTGGCTATAGGTTCTTATATTAAAACGTTCAAAATTTCATCCTTTACAATCCCCCAAATTTTTAAAACGTCATTCTGATACACCCTGTATACAATGTCTGATCAAAAAGTATCTGACCTGAGGCCAGTAAAAAACACCTATGTATCTATTAGGCTCAAACACTAGTTCCCTTCAAAATAGGCTTCCTTCTGAGTTTGTACACTTCTATCAGCAATGCTTCCACTGTTGGAAGCATGTTTCAAAGTCATTTATCGGGATCACTATCAGATGCTTTGTCATGTTAATCTTGATCTCCTCCATGTCTTGAAATCTCTCCTTTGAGTGGTATCTTCAGTTTGGGAAAGAGCCAAAAGTCAGCCAAAGCCATGTCTGGGGAATAAGGAGGCTGTTGAACTTGTGCAATACTTTGTTTTTCAAGGAATGTCTGGTTGAGATGTGATACATGGACCGGACCATTGTTGTGATGAATGAACCAGTCACCAGACTGCCACAGCTGTGGTCTCTTGCACCTAACAGCATCTCATAGGTGACATAAAACAGTCAGGAAGTATTCATTTGTCACAGTTTGTTCATGACAGGCATACTCATGCTGAACTATATCCTGGTGGTTGAAAAAAACAGTCAATATATTGCAGGGTAGGATGGACTCTCCAAATTCACATAAATGCAGTAGGGTCCAAGGTCAAATGACAACATAGTCTCCTCCCCAGTTTGTAAATACTTGCAAAGAAAAGAAAATAAGGTTGGATACTTTTCAATCAGACCTTGTACATACAATACATCTTATGTGTATATTTGTATATAAACAAGTACAGATTTAGAATAGAAACATAAGGTCACGTATACAATCATTTTTCAGAGAATATATATCAATTGTTTAATATACTTATAAATGCTTTTAAATAACCTAACTTTATGCATTTTTTTTAATTATTTGCATTATGATATCCCTCCTATCATTTCAGTTATTTTAGTTAGTTTGTTAATTTTGTGTACTTTTTAGTGGCTTTAAAGTAACTCTCTTAAGTGTTAAACAATTCCCATTAAAGTTTGACAAACAAGCATCCCATGCCTGGAGCAGGATTTGAGCATGCAATCTGGTGAACTAGAAACAATACCTTAACACATATGTCTGCCAAATTGGCAGATGTGTGACTATCATTATTTCATATTTTAATCTATGTCTGATTATGAATATTCTAAATAGTGGAATTAATAAAACAGAAAATCACAAAAAAGTTTAATCAAGAAATTATCATCAATTTCACACATTAAAATATAAATTAAGAATACTATTTCTCAATTTAGACCATTTCATATAATTCCTAATAAAGATTTAAGAAAAGTTATAATAATAATAATAATAAAGATTTATTTGTGCCAAGCATATCAATGAATAATAAACAATAATACTTGATAAAATAATAGAAAAATAAATACGAAAATCTTAGTATATTTGAAAATTTGCATAATGACACTAAAGACAATACTAATTTTGAGGTTGATACTAATTTTACTTACTATTAAGTTCATTCAGTTCAAATTTTAAGAATCATTTATATAAAATATTAAAAACTACTTTACTTTAAGATATTTTCATTTCTCATAAAAATATCTTAAAGTAAAGCAGTTTTTAATATTTTCTTTAGTATCATTATGCAAAGTTTACAAAATGTTTAAGATATTTTCATAAAAAATGAAAATAAAGCAGCTTTCAATATCATTTACAATTGCTATATACTTAATATACATGCAAATATGTTTCTATATAGTTGCTGAATTATTTAAATAATTCATTTATTTCTACATTCAGTAATTAATATAATTACTAATTTATATAAATACTATGCTTTAATAATTCTTCTAAACATCGCAAATCTTTAGGTTCAGCAGCTGCTTCATGTAATGGTCGCCATCCTCTATTATCTGGTGCATCAACTGGATTTCCTGCTTCAACTAATTTACGAAATTCAGTTATATTTCCAATTCTTGCAGCCAAACCTATATATGAACATGTATCATCCCATGCTTCAGTGAAATCCATTTTCCTTGCTGTAAATAAAGGATATAAGAAATATGTAAATTTTTACTTTTAAATGTGAATTNACTGACTGTTATGTTGGCATGGATGAAAAATGTTTTTAGAAATGTGTATTTGTAGAAATGTCTTTTTATTATAAGAATTTTAAAAATGTTTTGTTTGCTTTAAATCAATTATTAGACAAATTTTAAGATACTGCTGCTTAAAGGTTGTCTTTTGGTGATTTATTTAGTGAAATAGTTATTTCTCTAAGTCAGTGATTCTCAACCACTGTGCCACAGTACTTTAATGTGTCACAAGATTTTTGAAGTGTCACCACTGCAAATACCCATACATGAGTGATGTCAGACAAGTAGTTCAATCAGTTCTATCTTCTTAAAGTGCATTTGGAAATTGTAAGCAGTGTTACCAGTAGCTGCCAGTAGTTACCAATGCATTTAGAAAATGTGACCTAAATAACCAACCGCATTTAAAAATCACTGTTATGACATCACCGGTTGTCCTGCAGTACTTACCAAAGGGCTGCCAAATTTTTAAATTATTAAAAGTGTACCATGACGAAAAAAAGGTTGAGAATCACTGTTCTAAGCTAATAACATACTGTTTCAATTTTAGAAAAAAAATTGCCAAATCTATAATGAAAAATTAAAATAGCCACATAGTAATGCAGGGTCTTCCAAAAAGAATGCTACCATTTTAAATGACTATAATTATGTTAATTATTATCCAAGAAGTATATGATGTACATCAATTGATAGAGTAACTGTCTGTGTTACATTCGGATGTCTTGTTGTCTACTATCTCTGGGAAGCACCGTAAAAGATGATGACAACTCCACAATAGAGAAGACATTTTGTGTTATGCAGTCTGCAAAGTCAGAATTATTCATCATTGTACAACATGCAGTAGCTGTAGAATTGTGACTGTTGTAGGAAGTGTGACAACAGATAGGCAGCAGCAAATGTAGGAAAAATTTGAATATTGGTTGGATGGGTGCTGTGTGACACAAGGTGCATGTATTGAGAAGTTGTAATGGTAAAATTTGAACAGTTTTCCAATATTTTAATATACTTTAATTATTATCTGAGAACATTGTAATGTAATTACAATAATTTAAAATGGTAAAAATTATTGAATTCTTTCAAAACTAAAATCTAATACTTGAAATTATAACAAACTTCTGTTTTTAATTGCAAGACAAAATAATTAAGAGAATTTAAAATGCAAAATCTAATCTCATTGTATGCAATGTATATTCAAATTATCAGAGCCATTACAGTATATTCACAAATACAATAACAAAATTTCTGACATTACTCTATTTCTCCAATTTCAATGTATTAATAAAATTATTATTAATCAATTATTCAATTTTTAGGTAACGAAAGATATGAAGTTTCGTCTTAAGATAAAAGGAGTGTCATCAGAATATGAAATGGAGTTAATGTATAAACTTTTATTGTTAGAAAATGAAGAAATTTATGTAAATTATTTCATGTATTAAATATGTTTTCTTAAATTAAAATTATGGTAATTAAATAGTCTTTCAAACTTTTAGTATACATTAATTTTGCAAAAACTTAAAAATAAGTTAAAATGCTTTTTTTATATATATATTTTTTTTTTCCAGTAATGATAGGGTTCTCGTCTTGGGAAAATCGGGGAATTTTAACTAATGATGGTGTTGTTTTATATAATTGCATAATGTTTTGTTTTTCATGTTAGTATATGACAATGCGGGCGATCTACTGAGAGGATGCCTACGGGTGGACTTTCTAAGAGAAACTAATCTTATTTAGGTGTTACAAACGTGAAGAAACCCAGAAAACTCCACGTTGCCAGCCCGTAGGCGAGGCGCAAACCCATGACCAGTGTTCAGTGGTTTTATCTACTGGACGACTGAAGGTAATGTCTCAACACTTAATTGAAGGTTTTTTTCCAAAAAACTTTAAACATATTAAAGTTAGATTAATCAGGTTTGAAATATTGTATAATATAATAGTTGTATTTCTGGTAACTCCAGTATTTCCTAAAAATGCCATATACAGTATATTTTAAACATGGTAATAATGTGCATTTTGTAACATTCTTTTGATTAATCATCAGATATCAGAAAAATTCAAAAATTGAAATTTTTGCCATCTTATCATCAAAGTAACATTACGTTTTATCGATATTTGTTTGGGAAGTGCACCTTTTGAAATGTTTTTCTGTAAAGGCTTGGTTTACGAACGTGAGAGGAAAGGGGAGATCAGACATGGGAGAGGAGAGGGTTGAACTTTAATCAGATAAAACGGATGTCCGCTAAATTTTATACAGTTTATGCATTTTATTGTTCATAAAGTGATAAAAGTTCAAGGGGAGTTGGGTTTTTTTTTTACTTCCGAAAGGGAGGTCATGCAAACTGGGACAATGGGGAAGAGGGAGTAAAATTTTCAAGAAACATGCGGACATAATTTATGGACAACCCAAAACTCCGTGTTCTCATTGGTCGAGAAAGACATAGACTAAATAAAGAGCAGCAGAAATAGCGATACACATGCTATAATTCCAGAGAATACAGTAGAGTTCCTCAAACTCATCTTAACCTGGACTGAGATGACGAGTTTTGCGTCATAGCGAGATGCCAGTCTAACCAGCGGAAGTTTCGTAAAGGTATCTGTGCAAATTCATATACGTATTAACTACAGTAGAGCGTCGATTATCCGAAAGAATTCCAGTAGGCAAATTTAAATTTTCGCCAGTACTGTGGCGCTGCAATCTTTGGCTGTCTTGGGCTACTCAAATATTGTACGTTTTTGATACTAAATTAACTTCTGAAGTATAATTTTTTGTTTTTATATTTTTCAATATATTGTTTGTACAAAATAAAAAAATAATTTTTAACGATACAATAGTCTTCGTTAGGCTTAACATCGACGNGTTGTAATTAATTTTCAATTTTTAAACCATTGTATTGCTTGCGTTCTATTTTACGTTCGTTTTTGTTTTAAAGTGGCATAACTGAAGAAGACTATTAAATATAGTCGAAAACATTTTTATTTTATTAAATACTTCGTTGCTGGAAATACTAAGGTGTTTGATTATTTTAAGTATTTATATTCCAGTAAGTTATTTTTAGTCCAATATATCTGTTTTAACAATGAATTTATTGGTCTGAATCATTTTAAATGGAAATTTTGAGTTATTAAGATCCAGTAGGTTCTGTTACATTTAAATTAATATTTAAAAATCAATTACTCAATTAGATGTGTTAAATTATGCTGTTATGTCCAGTTATTGATGCCAGAGAAACATTGTGCAATTTTGCATAAAATAAAACAACTTAAAACAAAACCTTACAATTAGTATTATATGCAGCATGTGTAATGCTGAGCTAATAGATACATCATAGTGTCAGTATTTCTTCATTTTACACATATGTAAAAAACAAAGTTGAAATATTCTAAACATTTTTGGAAGCAGAATATGAATTTTAACTTTTAAATATCAAATTTTACATGATTATATTCTACAAAGAATATGGCATTTCATTAATTAATTAGCTATATTTATTATTATACATTACATATTTATTTCCATTTAAAACAATATGTATTGAATGTATTCCAAAGAGTTGTTATGAAAGTTATTTTGTTTTTGATTTTAAGATCAAATCAATAAAAATTTTGTGTTTGAATTTGTATATAATTAATAACAAACTAAAAGAATTTATTGACTTTTTAATATTTTATTAGAAATCAGTAGCATACTAGTGAAACATCTTTTTTACTGATTTATTATTTTTTTAATAGGAAACATAGGCAATATATAGGAAATCTTACATGATATTATTATTTAAAATATCATGTAGCATTTTGTTTTAATTTAATCCATCTGGATTTATAGAAATGAAATTAATTATTTCTAGAAAAAGTCAATATTTCTAGCAGTGTTTAAAATGTGATTTCAGTTTTAAATGTATAAATGATGATTGTTAAAGTTAGTTCATTTTTTTTTAATTTATGTTGATTTTCTGCATGATTTTTAAATTGATTATTTTATAGTTATTTGATACATGATCTTTTGATTCAAAATTTTGTTTTGCTACCAAAATATAAATTTCATTTATTGAAATTAAAATTATACTCATTTTAAAGATTGAATCATAAAGAATTAAGTTTTATTAGGATAAGAATAATTATTTACATTCTAAAGAATTAAAAAAATAATCATTAAAAGCAATAACCTTTACATATTTATAATAATAAATATGGAAATTATTGTAATTATTAATTAATATTTTTACCCCTATAATTCAAGATATAGAATAAAATATTTCATGTATGAACTTGCAAATACATATTTTGTAGTTTTTTACTATTGTAGTTGAAAAATATAATTAATATTGCAATAAATGAATTTTATAATTTATTGTAAAAATTAAAAGATTTTTTAAAAGCAGCTACAAAATTTTCCAGCATATCTAAAAAAGTGTTTATACACAAAAGAAATTTCAAAGAAAAATACTAATGTTTATTACTATTAATTATACAATAATTACTATAGCTAAATAATAATTAAAATGATTTTAAAATTGCTTAAAATTTAACTATAAATTTTTTGTATATATTTTTAATTATATTCTAATTTAATGTTTTTAGATTTTGATGATTTATTTGATGATGAAGATCTACAATAATTTCATAAGCGAAGGTAATAAAATTTATATTTCTGTAAGTTTGCTTTTGTTAATTCAATGTATTATGTAGAAGAATTTTCTGAATGAAATAAGGCTAAGCTTAATCAAATAATACCTAATGATAATTATGACCTTAAAATAACTCCACTGAAGATATTTCCTAGAAGAAAAAAATTTAGTTTCATGACATTTATTCAAACTTAAACTATAAACTTTTTATAAAAGATAGTCTAATGCAGGGATGTCCAGCCTGCGGCCACATTGCAGCCCACTTAATATTTTTATACGGTCCATTGAACCCTAAAATTTTTAGGTGCGTTTTCATTTATTTTGATAAAGAATGTTGTAAAAATAATTCTCATTTCACTGGATACATTTTGATGTTGTAATGATGTAATTGATGTTAGAAAACTGTACTATTCCACATGCAAAACATACTATTGTGAACAATTCTTTTCATGCATGAAAAGATCAAAACTGGTGAAAGAAATAGGTTGAGTAATTCCCATTTAACCAACATTCCTAAAATTATGATTAGTACCATAAATGCAGATATTGACAATATTATAATTTGTTTACTGTCAATAATACAGTATTTTATGTAATTATATATTTGTTATTAAAATTTGATATTCACAATTTGAACTTTTTAAAAATATATATATAAAGTACCTTTGCAGTCCACTGAATAAATGTAAATTTCTAATTTGACCCATTAGAAAAAAAGGTTGGACAACCCTGGTCTAATGGATATGTATAATTTCTTTAGGACTGTGAATTGTTGACGAAATTACAGTTAAACATTATCATTTTAAACTTTAGTGTGTATTTTTTTTTTTTTTTTTTTTGGCTGAAAATTTTCGAATTATCGC